AAAAACATTATGATTTTAAAGATATTTAATATTAAATATATACATATATATTTTTATATCTTTCTTTTTTTCATCTTAAAATGTCATTTTCTCACCTTGTTTCACGATTGTCCTGATTTGGTCTAGCAAAGGCAAAGTTAAAATGCGATGAAGATCTATCTGATCCTCGGAGGTGGATTGCAAATAGCATTCATCAGGTATCTGAGGTACCAACAGATGCAAATAATTTATCTGATCCAAATTCAGATTATTTATCGATTCTTCCGATGAGCAGAACATCTCCATCCGTGTTGACTACAAAAACAACCGAGTATTTAATATTTCAATATGTAAAAACAATATGAGATAAAACGTAGGTAAAATATGTTGTTGCATTTATTTTATTTGTTGCATTTATTTGTTGCACTCACAAAATAGCGTCTTATATTTAGTTTGAATTTGTACTGGGGATGACTCAATAAGAGTCGAAACGTATACTAATTATGATTGAATAAATGTTATTTATGAATTCTAATTTATTCAAAAGACAAATTGATTAAAATTGCGTACCAATAACAACGCAGCATTCTCATTCGCCCTTAAGAACTGTAATTTTGTAAAATATGTTGTTGCATTTAAATATAGCTATGTTTGTAAGAAATAAACTAAGATCCTCCTGTCGGGCTGTGTGGCTCTGCGTTCGAACGTCCAACATTTTTTCTCGGCCCAACTCTTACATGCTAATTATACTTTTCTTTAAACAAAAATTATTAACTTCATGATTATATCGAGATAACCTACCTCAGCTTGCTCATCGTAAGCCGGTATGTACTTTGTATGTATCCAACGCTCTTCCTGGCTCTTTCTGTGGTGATGTTGGAAAGATTGTTCCTGCAGTTTCTTCACGTTATCTGGCAGATGCCTAGCGAATGTTACCTTCACCGGAATGGGATTATTTTCCTCCTCGTCATCGTCTGCATTTTAGCAAATGAATTTGTGAGTGTTTCTCATTCGCTTATGCCAAGCTCTAGAGGTTTAACACAGGCTATCTCGGTAAATGTATTCATGTACAAGTCAGTAAGGAAAAATCTCTTTTACCTTCTCCAGTATTCTTCATCCCATTCCTGTTATTTTCGTCTAAATAATCGCACTGTAACTTCATCTGCAACATTGTCTTCAATGGTGTGATGTATAACTCGCCATCCTGAAAGATCCCGACTGCGAAATTTGAGCAATCCGACAAAGTCCGTTCTGAAGTTAATACAACCTTATCCATCAGTTCTCTAAGAAAAAAAATAAATTTTTTTATAAATGTAAATTAAATTTCTACCAAAGATTATTTAAAATTTCATAATCACCCATCAAACACTATTTCATCATTTTCTGTAGATTTTTCACTTGTTTTTAAAGCTAACTGCTTTCCCATGGCGTAATCGTAAGAATGTTTGTTCAATGTATCCATTGAAAGTTCCATACGAATTTTCTGGTTTTCAGGTTTAATGGAAGTCTTCAAGAAGGTAGCATTGGGATAATTGTCTTTGACATATGCAGGGTATTGAATAATAAATAATTTATCCGCTAAAGTCTTGGAAAGGTACACTGGTATCTGTATAAACCATTTCTTTTATTATTTTTTACAGATAGAAAATATATCAGATGTACAAATAAATAATTCAGTATTTTTTATAAAATCTTGTAGACACCGTTATAGACAAGAAAGAGTATAAGCTATTATAAAGTGACTACTTTTTAAATTCTGAAACACAATATAACTGTGTTTGGGAAGTGCACTATTAGTGCTATTTATGTCATACTATCCTTGTTTCACATCTAATGGACAATGAAGATAGACTGATATAAATAGAAGTATATAATAGCATTTCTCTGAACTGAACTTAGGTGTAGTAAGCGGGGAGCACAGACTCTTGCATAACACATAAGGCATAAGAAATACAATCAATCAGAATTCTTTATTTCATGGAAAAAAAGGAAACGGAGAGCTTTGATTGATAAATTTTCTTATGCTTTACATGTAATGTATTATGCAAGAGTCTGTGCTCCCTATCTTATTCCTACAGCGTTTTCTCTTGGGATACACCAGGATACACTAAGTAACCTTGCGCTATATACCAATTGCGTGTAAGTGCTGCACTATACTATATAAATATATATATACACTAGTGTACATACACCATGGTATACACTGGGTACCTTCCAACAAGCGATATAGATGACACAGTATATCAGTATGTTCTTATTGTTCACCAATGTTAAACAAGGATGAGATGATCCCTGTGTCATACTGTGTTGCTTATTGGAAAAAAAAGGCATCCACTACTTCATGCTATCGTCGTGTTTAATCCTATTGCCGGTTGACTTCCATTTTCAAATTTTAAATGTTACACTGGCTCTACACCATCCTTTTGAGATTGTGTAGCAAAATCCTTCATACATAAAATTTGCACTACACTATAGCTACGAAATTTAAATATTACACCAAATGAGTTCGTCTACCACCAGCCAAGGAAACACCCTACACTGTCTGAGTGTTACATTGGTAGGCGATAATGCAGCCAAGAGAAAACGCTACATAGTTATGCACACTGATGGAGTCTCAGAAACCCCAGTGCAATTTGCTAAATCAAGATTTTTTCGTTTTTGAACTTTTCTTTTTCTTTGAACTTGTATATATATCTTAAAACTTCTTCATTCTATCGACTTCAACATTATAGGCTTGTTCCTTAATCAATTCTCCATTAATGGAAAAAAAATTAATTAAAATATGTCTATTTTTATGAAAGTTATACTAACAAATATGGATAGGGTCTCAGAGACCCAAGTATGCATACCAAGTAAAAAAAACAATATGTATAGGTAGAGTTAACTTTAACAAATTAATCAATTATTTTTCTTACATACGACTGTGACTGATGAATTTCTTAAGGTTTAAATCTACTGATTTGAGTTTACTAGTACAGTTTACTGAATCAGTGACTTACAACTTACACCTTACATCATTATGAATTTTACTGTTTTTTTATAAAAGAAGGATAGAAGTGTTGAAAGCAGTAAAACAGGACACATATTGAGAGAGTTAATTGTTTTACATTATAAAAATTTAAAAGTGGAGCAAGTGTCTCTTATCCCCCTTGTGTTACATCCATGACTAAAATACGTAACTTGTCCTGACTGCTAATACGCGCACGAACAGACGGGACATCCAAAATTGTGGGACCGCTGAGCGGATTTTGTGTAAACGCAAGACACATGTGAGTCTAAGTCGGCAACACTTTTCAAAAGTATGATAAAAACACCCGAACTAAGACGCGTCCGCCCTATAGATGAGTGATGCAACAAGACTATTGTCATTTGTCGTGTGAACATTTACTAGGAGAAGTCAGGAAAGTATTGGAAAAATAAGGGATTATTTTTATATAAAAAAAAATAATTAATTATTTATTTGTGCATTTAAACTCTTAACAGATACTGAAGGTCTTCATAAGTCTTATGTATCCATTGTAAATAAAGTTTGAATTTCTGATATCGATAATTGGTTGTCTTGCTCAGTCTACGTTTGATTCTTCAACTGATTAGTCGTTTACACTTACACAATGTTTATAATTTTATCAGTATGTTCCAATTTGTGTCTTTTCATTTTATTTTATTTTATTTTATTTGACGAATATTATCTACTAATTATGTGGACACATCGAAGTAATGTTGATCTATTAATTTTGTTTGATTTCCTTACTTAAGGTAAGTTTTCTTTTAGAAAAATTTTTACATGTGTGTGTGTGTGTGTGTGTGTGTGTGTGTGTGTGTGTGTGTGTGTGTGTGTTTTTTAACATTTATAAAGAAAGCTTTTTTACCATCGTTTCAGAGATATTGTTTTACATACGACTTTTCAATCATTATAAACCAATGTTAATTTTCTGCAAGAAGACTCACAAGACTATAATATGGAATTATGGTGAACGATCTTCAATGACTAATTTTGTCTGCTGTATTGTAATGTCTGAAGAGGGCTCAATCCAGAGCCGAAACTTGTAACGTTCTTTATACATATTTTTTTATATTAATGCTTATTTCTATTTTAATTGTATTATATGATTGTTAGACGATTTAATGTTGAATAGTGTTAGGATTAATTTTATTGAAAATGACTGATTATATATTTTATTGTGAAACGAAGATTATTATACTGACTCTTTAATCGCCCTTGACACCATTTTGTTTATTTAAACTCTAAAACAAGAAATAATTTGTATGTTTATAATAAAACCGGTCTTTTAAATCTAAATAAATTATTTAAAAAAATATATATAGACATTTTTTAGCAGATCTAATAATTTCTTTCTTAGAGACACTTAAAATACACGAGTTTAAAACGAAAGAAATAGAGGTCATCATGACTAAATGTCAACAGTGTTTTAAACCACGTGTTCAGAAGTAATAACTAACCTAAAGAAAACTCTTAACGTTAAATAATCTTATTGAGAGCGAGTAAACCAGTAAAAAGTGAAATTGGTATATATAACACTAACCTCTTTCACAACGGGATCATCTATTTCCGTAATATCCATCGTTGCTACTTTTTATCAGAATAATTCTTCAACTTTTGATATTTTATGATGATACATGTGCACGAAACATCTTTCGAAACTTTTCGAATAATTTAAATCGAAATGATTCGTGCTGCCATAGTGAGAGCAAGCTAATATGAGCCAATCGAAAGCATGACCGGGCTATACTCTATATTTCTAGGGACTCTAAAGCCCATTCTACATTGGTCGTATCGTAGCATCGTAAGTGTCGTGAGACTTCTAATTGACACATCGGATTGGCTGTTGCAACAAATTTGTGACCTGCGACGCCTACGATACGACCAATGTAGAATGAGGTCACGAGCAAGTGAGAATGCCGCCTAACGTTTTCTGTGATTGGTCAATTCGCTTACTGATTACGTTTACGGCCTTAATGTTTTTCCACAGTTTTTTCTATGCGCCATGGGCTTTAATTTCTCATTAAAAATCGTTGAGGTCGCTCGTCCTCCTTCATAATTACCATTATTACTTCAGTGTTCAGTTTACATTGTCAAGAGGGGATTAAAAAGAATTATTACTTTGCGAATTTTCGATCGCAATGACACGACATGCAAGGAATTGCACCGCTGGTGCAGTGTACACGTATCATGAGAAGAAGAAGGACGCTGCTGCATCAGGTTATGGCACCAACACTCAACGAGTGGGCAAGGACTCTGTCAAGGATTTCGACTGTTGTTGTCTGACTCTACAACCCTGCAGGAATCCAGTGATAACGTAAGTATCTTACATTATGAATCTTGAACTGGGTGTTTATTATATATGTAAAAATTTGAAGAACCTAGAAATTTCAGGATTTCTTTTTTATTCTACAAATCAGGAATTTTATAAAATTTTATTAGTATTCAGAAAAATTTTGGTTTCTTATTATATAGAATAATATTGTTCGTATTTTTTGATATTGACAATATTATTATGTAAGATTCCTATTATAATGTGTGACTTGTTCATTTCTATTAATTTCAATCTCTTATATCTCAACATACATTTTTTAGTTGCAAACATTAGACTGTGATTAAAGATAATCTATATTAGTAAAAATAAACATGTGACATATATCTGTACATATATTTGTGTATTTTATTCAACATTAATGATCTCCATTGTTACAGGAAAGATGGATATTTATTTGATAAAGAAGCGATATTGGAATATGTCTTGACTAAGAAAAGAGAATACACAAGGAAGCTAAAGGAATACGAGAAGCAGAAGCAAAAGGAAGAGGTTAAATTCTAGATAATCTTTAAGCCTAATGTACAGACTATATTCTGGAAGCATTCTTTTAATACTGTTAGCACATTCCATCTTTTAGTGCTTTTCATTTAGTGACAAATTAACACAAGTGTGTTCTCATTCTATCTCTATTACTCATTGAATATCAAGAAAAATACATGTTGAATAATATTTATATCAACTTGTGTCGCTAAATGAAAAAAGTTTTTTTAAGTTCATTAAATGATAAAGATAAATTTCAACACACCTTGTATGCCAGAAGTCTTGTAGTACATCTGTACAGTTAGTTTTATTACTTTTTATTAAGTCTCATCGAAATTATCAGATAGCTTGAACAATCAATATATTTATGTATCTTGTATATATTACAGGAGCAATCGCAAGAACAGACAGCCAATGAAGAGTTGAAAAAGCTACAAAATTTTCTAAAGGGTGAGAAAACCATTGTGTCAAGCAGTTCCAGTACGACAGATGGAGATTCAGTCTCCAACATGAAAAATGGTAAAGACAAGATGCTACCAAGCTTCTGGATACCTTCAAAGACCCCAGGAGCGAAGGAAGTTTCCTTACAAAAGCCTGATAAGACCATTTACTGTCCTGTCAGTGGAAAGCCATTGAAAGTGAAGGATTTGATTCCGATAAAATTCACAGTGGTTGAGGATCCAGATGATAAGAGATCGCTTATCGTTAAACAAGCGCGATACATGTGTCCTATCACTCACGATGTATTGGGTAACAATGTCCCTTGTGTTGTGATAAAAACGACGTAAGAGAATTAAATAATCTCCTGTCTTGCATGAAATGTAAATAATTTTTTTGTCATTTTAAACATTTTGCACACTTATAGCGGTGATGTAATCACAATGGAATGTGTGGAAAAACTAATAAAAAAGGATTGGATTAATCCTTTAGATAATTCCAAATTGACACCATCTGATATCATCCCTCTACAAAGGGTAAGTAGAGTTAGTTTTGAACAGAATAAGAATAACCATACAGAGAATAATAACCATTTTGATTATTTTACAGGGTGGCACTGGTTATGCATTAGTTAATGATTCATTAGAAGGTAGACACGAAAGGCCAGTGTTACAAGCGTAAAAAGGATTTGTTGTTGCTCCATTGTATATAAACATCTTAATCTCATTGAGAAAATACAAGGATTGTAAATATTTTACTGTATTTTACTGCAAATATTTAATTAGGCATATAATTAAGTATTATTACTTTCTATATATACTTACATAATGTACTATAATAATTTACAGCATTAGAAATGTATGAAAGTAGAAAAAGGAAATTATTTCAACATTAAAAAAAATAGCTAAAAACATTTATATGTACTATATGTTTAATTTTATAAGCTTACATATGAAAGAATTTAAACTTAGTTTATGAATTCATTTATATGTAAAAAATTAAAGGTTCGAATTAAATTTCGGAATTTGCATATTATAAAAGAATAGTTTGAAAATCAAATATTTATGAAATAGAAAGTAAGTACGAAATAAAAGACAAATAATTTAAAAAATAAAAACACAGTATAAGCATGATATGAGCATATCTCCAACTTAATATATTTTTATTTTGGACAAAAATGAATTTGAATTTTCATTATCCTGCCTCATAATGTATCAAACATTTACATATAAGACAGCTTAATTTTTGTTCTTAAATTATGTTATATTACTTGCTTCTATTTTTTTCTTTTAAATATTTATTGCGTCCTTAAAAACATGTATGTATTTAGTTGTATGTGTTGTGTATAAGTTGAATCAGTATAACTCGCATTGGTTAAATGGCCCAATTGTGCAAACACAATCTATCAATTTTTTCTCTGTCCGAGATCAGAGCATCGTGAGTATTAAGACTGGTTCCACTAATGTAAGATTAAAATCTAATGTAAGATAACATAATGTAAGAAACACTAATATGCAAAATAAAATAAAGATTTAATCTCAGTTTAACTTACTATTTATTTTTTAATAATTCTTAGAATTAGAAAAAAATAAGTAAACTAAATCAAAATTAAAATTAATCTTATATTGAAATTGAGCCTCAGAATCTATTAAGAGAAAAGTTATAAAGACCTGAAATTCTTCCGTACGTTCGAAGATTTTTCTTTTTTTTTAATGAATAAAAGAACAAAGGAGGAGAGCCTTCAGGTACAAATTCCTATTATGCTCTAGTGTTTACAAATATAAATCCCTACATCTAAACCTTCTATGGCGCATTTTGTACAGATATTGAGAGCGTGTAAATAACGAGCTTCCATTGATTATAATCGATAGGATTCCTGCCGCAACTTGATTGGTTCTATCTTACAATTAGTTTCCTCCGATTAGTTATAAAGACTTAGACTAAGACGTTCTTGTTTTACCAGGTTGAACAAATAACACAAAATTTGTAATAATAAAAAATAAAGATAATTTAAAAATTAAACACGTTAAATTAAATTTAATTAAAATTATAGAGAATTAAAATTAAGATAGAATATAGATGAATTATAACGTAACATAATTAGTAGTGTCGCAAAGCCAACAACCTTCTATCAGTGTTGCTAACGGGGACGCGTGTTCTCGCGTCAAGTATCAAAAGTTCACAAGAATACGGGTACCTTTAGAACCATTTAGAACCTCCAGATAAATTTTACTAAATTTTATAGAGAGATACATAATTATTAGGCTTATAATGTAAGTAAAAAAAGAAATGTAATTAAAATGTAACAAAGAAATTATAAATATAAAAAAACGCGTCTATATAGCAACACTATACCTTCCATGCAAGAGCCGTTCTAAAGTTTGCGAGATAGGGCAGGTGGCGCCATCTTGAGTGTTACGGTTTCTCGAGAGCAGCTTGCAAAGAACGCGCGCTCCGCCGGGTAAGCGGCAATCTGCGGGACGGCGCTCCGACGGTTTGCTGGCTGTCGCGCGCTCTCGTCGGGTCCACGCGCGCGTTCGAAAGACGAGCGCATTTCGAGTTCTGTGCGTGCCTGCCTTCGTACTTCCGTGCGTGCGTGCGTGCGTGTTTACGGTTTTCCTTCATCGCGCATCGTCGCCTGACGCAACACAGAGATCCGCGTCGCTGGAGTGTCACGCGGATTCACGCAGCGCGGGAGTTCGCGCGTGTCTCGAAACGCTGGAGGACGACAACGGCGGCGACGACAGGAAGGTGAGTCCACGCTCAAACCTTTGCAATTCCGCGGAACGGCGGCAAATCCTGTGCGCCATCCAATCGTCAGATCCGCGATGCGGAAATATTCCCGCGTTTGTTTCCTTTTTTTTTTTTTTTTTTTTTTTTTAAAAAATTTTTTTTTTTTTTTTTCTTTACTTAATTTTTCTTATCTCTTCTCCTTCGTTCCTCCTTCGCGAACGAAATTCCGCGAACTTGAGTCGCGTGAAGTTAGGCGCGAACGCGAATCGGCAATTTTTGGAACGCGCGGCGGCGCGTAGAGGGGTTTCCTGAAGTTTCTGCGGCGATTCGAACGCTAGTACGAACCGGCAATTATGACACTTGCGAGACCGACGATAAATAACTTATAAATAGGACACGTAAATGCATTTTGATTGCAGTTGTCTGTTGCGTGAGAGACAGGAATTGGGAGGAATTCGAGGAATCTTGCGAGCGCGTCATATTTAGTCGCAGTTTAATCATACGTTACACGTATTACCAGACTTTCCCTTGGTAGAACACATGATTGGTGTTTTCCAGTAAGGACACAGTGTAATACAATGAATCATTTCATCTTTGTTCATTGTTGGCACTTTGAATACGATTGGTCAATTTCTTCCGACTCGAGGTTTAAACTTAAATTTTACGCTTTTAGATCTTATCGTATAGACGTCACTTTAACAGTCATCATTTCATCTCTGTTTAACATTGGCGAACAATAAGGCCGTAATGCATCACTGTTTTACGTGTAAAATAGTTTAGTGCCTTTTGCCATAAAAACAATCATAATTAAGACCTATATTTTATAACTTTTATGAGCTTTTCTATAATAAGCTATATTTAAGTTTTAAGGCCCAATTGGATTCTCTCTCTCTCCCCCTCCCCCCAAAGACACTCATAAGCTATAAAAAATTGAGCAATCATAGTCGATTATTCTTTTCACATTCAATTAGGATTGGTCAATTCTTACGGTTTAAGAATTAAACTGATCCACTCTGATCCATATTTTTTGTTTTAAGAATTAAAAGCTCAGATAATAGCTTATTATAGAAAGCCCATTAATGACAACTAAAAATAGTGTTGTTACATTATCGCTGTGTAGTTTTTTTTACCATGTAGAATTACAGAACGACAATGTAATGATATTGTTATATTGTCGTTAAGAGTTACAAAATAAGAGGCTGTCATAATGATATTACAGGACAACAGCATGACGTTATCTGTTACTTAAAAGTGAACTTATAAATGACAAATAAGGTCATGATATAATATTCTTATGATTTCTGTATTCTATACTTGAGTTATCATATGCGCGGACAATGGAAATTCCTGCGAAGTAATATACGAGAGGGAACGTTCTAAATCCTTCGAACTTCTTGTCTCCTTTGTCCAACGTCTGCATTACTTGCAAATTTCTTTCACACGCAACTTTTTGCAATTTATTCGCTGTAGTTTTCAGCAATCTTTGCAGAATAGACGACTAATTTCGGGGATAGGATATATTTACTAAAAATGTCTACGAATGTGCTACTCGAATAAAGCCTGAATCATACAATATTATGCATTAAAAATTGAGAATTGCATGAAAAGAACGATTTATGAATAGTTAACAGTTTTAAATTAATTAACATTATCAGACATCGCGCGAATCTCTAAACACATAATAGACGATCGATAATATTATTCTACATGTTGCATAGAAGATTTTTGCTCAAAATTTTACTGAAATGTTAAACTTTTTGTAGCATTGCTTATTATACTTGAGTTTCCTACATAATTATTTTGATGGTCTAACAAAATTATTTTTATTTAGCTAAATTTTTAGATACTTTACCTTTAGCAAAACTATATATTCTTCTCATGTGGACATTATAATTTCTATCAGAACAAAATGGGTTAAAATAAAAGTTATCTGATTAGTCGAATTCTAATGTTTAATTCGTAATCTTTGATGCACGATTGGCTCAAATATCTTCAACGTTTAACCAATGTATCGCCAATAAATTGTTACTAGGGGAGTAGTCTGAGACTAATATATTCCATTTATCGTACAACAAATTTTTCAAACGTATTAGCTGCAAAACAGAGAAATTGTCGAATCTCTTTATCCGATAGCCAATCAATATTGCATGCTTAAAAAAGCTTTGTTGTGCAACACATAAAACACCTATCAGCTTAATATAGACTTAAGAAGGTTCTCCAGTTTGAAAAAGTGAAAAGGAATCATGTGACTTTTCTTATCTTAATACAAAAGCACAAAGAATACAAAATGCCATTGCTATCTGCTACAAAGTAAATATAATAGTAAATAAAATTTAAGCAGTTGTAAAATTTTTCATTAAATAATATTTTCTTTATAATATAAATAAATATTTGTGTGGAAAATATTGAAAATTGTAATAATTATATATACAGTCTTGTGCAAAAGTATTAGGCGTCTTATAACTACCAAATTATTTTAAATTGTGGTAAAGGCAGATAAAAATAAAACTGTATATACTTTTAATTAGTCAATATTTATTGCTATTTATCAGTATTTAGTAAATCTTAGTCCACGCGAACATTTAACTATTTCAAACTGAAATTTGTCCTGTTCGTGTAAAAGTTAAATCAGCAAACGCTGTGCATTTTTTAGGCATTATTTACAGAAAAGAACTCAACTTTCAATAATGTGAGCAGTAGAATATGAAACTGACGCATATATTTTCACTATGAGCACCGATAATAGAATACTTCATTGGAAAAATACAAATATTCTCAATATTAATACCCTCTATCATTTACTTCATTGAAACCATAACTGTGTTTACATTTTAGAGTAAACATACCATCCAACAAATCACTGACAAAAGAGTAAATTCTAAGAACGCATGTCGGATATAACATAAATAATAGTAAGAGTGTCTAATACTTTTGCTCAAGGCTGTATATATTTAAATTTAATGATAGTTTATAATAATTATTTAAATTTAATTTAGATAATTTCGATGGAAACGACGTTGTTTTTATTAGAGTGATGTCATGTTTAAA